AAAACCCATGCTTTCCCCACTATGTCATGCTGCTTAAAATATGTAGCATGTTACAGTGTTTAGTTCCATCTCTACATTAAGTATTAATTCATGAGCCCTAGGAGTAACAGTTGCTTGATCCTTAGAACATAAATCCTTAAGCCTCCAAACTGAAAATAGAAAGGGAAATACACCCTGATCACAGACATCATATTTAAAATGCTTGTAAATGCTCTCCTTTCTGACCCTCTTTTCAGACACCAATAGCATCACTTAAGACAGACTACCTGAGCAGCATTTTTCATGAATACAAGTAGTTTCTGCAGGGGAGATCTAATTTCCAATTAACTCAACTTCTGATCATTGTGGAACTCTGGTTTACAGTGCTCCTGGCTGAGTTCTCTTTTAGGCACTATGTGTCTTATAATTAGCTTTAAGCATAATGTTTATGAAGAAATGATTGCTAGGTGTTTCAGGACTACACAAATTTTCTTCAGCAGTTAAGATCTGACTGTAATCCTCAATTCTGAATAATGGGAAAAAAGTAGAGATGAGCATTGCAGTGGTGATTGCACTTGCTACTGATGGCTGTGAACCATGACCTGAATGTCTAATTTGTGTTCTAGTCCTCATTGAAGAAATGGGGGAGCAGGGTGTGAAAGAATTATACAAGAACATCAGAAAGCTGCTTATCCGTTAGAAGGCAAAGATACAAAAGTTTTCATTTTCCTTATAGCAAATTATACTTTGGTTGATACTATATCTAATTGATAGGGATTTTAGAATTTAAATTATGTCTGTCATCCTTAAAACATCTCTGAGACAAAAAGCATAGGTAAAATAGTTCCATTTAATAGCACCATTAAGAATAAGTCTAAGAAGAAATGAGTTTCAGTCCTTTGGATCATTTGCCTTTTGTTCTGTTGATGTCCATAGGTGCTCTAGATGAATATTTAAAACTTGCTCCATGAAGTGAAGGATTAAGTATTTCATAGGTGCTTTAAATATTTCTGATGTACTCATAAAATCATGTGTGGAGAGTGGCAGTATAGTAAAGGCGAATTGGATGGAGGACATTTGTCTTTCTAGAAATTTTCATTACTGTCTGATTGGGGAAGAAGGTTAAGCTACATGGTAAAACTGTGTGCTTTGATTTGAACCATTAATAGCTACTTAGTACATACTTAATCATTGTATAGCCATGTGGAAAAATTAAATGATCAGATTTCAACTTGCTATGACAGTTTTACAGAATTAAAAAATATATATTTTTATTGATTTTTAGAGAGAGAGAGGAAGAAGAGGGAGAGAAAAAGAGAAACATCTATGTGAGAGCAGAACATTGATTGACTGCCTCCTGCATGTCCCCTACCTGGGATTGAGCCTGAACCCAGGCATGTACCTTTGACTAGGGATTGAACCAGCAACCCTTTGGTGTACTGGATAATGCCAACTAACTAGGCCACACTGGCCAGGGCAAGAATTTCTATATATGGAACACTCAAATGATCTTTATATTTACAATTTATATGGATACACTAAAGAGAATTTAAAAATGTAAGGGAGCCCTGGCTGGTTTGGCTCAGCGGTTAGAGCGTCGGCCTGCGGTTCTGAGAGACCCGGGTTCGGTTCCCGCTAAGGGCGCGTACCTCGGTTGCAGTTTGTCCCCGGCCTTGGTCGGTTGTGCAGGTGGCAGCCACTCGATGTGTTCCTTTCACATCGATGTTTCTCTCTCTCTCTCTGTTCCTCTCTCTCCCTCCCACTCTATCTGAACAAAAAATGGAAAAATGTCCTCGAGCGAGGATAAAAAAAAAAAAAATGTAAGGAAAGGAAATCAATTATGGGGAAACAGGGTAAGGTCCATGGTGGTGTTGTGTCGAGGGCATGCCAATTTGAAATTAATTCTCTTAATTAGATCATTTTTCTTATACTTCGTAGGCTCTTGACCTGAGTGAGGAACTCTAAGAATACTTTATTTTTTCCATAAAATATTTAGTGCCTCAGTATTTCTTTGACCTGGAGCACTTTGAAGTCTAAAGGGTAAACTCTGACATTTCATAGAAGTTTTAAATGAACACTAAGCTTGACATACCACATGTACCACTCTGCCCCACCCTCAAAACCAGTGTGGCTGTATGTTCCATTCATTTGAAATGCAGATAAGTATTCAGAATTACTCATTAAATGAGTCGTGAAAGCACAGATTAAATAATTCTCAACACCTTGTTTCTACACAAAATGATGTGTACCAATTTTAATATAATATAATATAATATAATATAATATAATATAATATAATATAAAAAAAATCTAATACAGATGCTCCTCGACTTATAGTGGAGTAACTTCTGTCCTGATAAATCCATTGTAAGTTGAAAATCTTGTAAATTGAAAATGTATTTGATACACCTAACCTACCAAACATCATGTCTTGGCTTAGCCTATCTAAAACATGCTCAGAACACTTACATTAGCCTAAAGTTGGGGAAAATCATTTTGCTGCCACTATCCAGCATCATGAAAGAGTATTGTACTGTATATCACTATCATGAGGAAAGATCAAAATTCAAATTTTGAAGTACAGTTCCTACTGAACGTGTATTGCTTTTGCAACACCATGAAGTAAATGTAAGTCAAACTATCACAAGACAGAGACCAACTGTATAGGGAGGGACCTATGGTTGCCCTTGGATTCTGGGGTTTGGATTGTAAATTATTAATAGCACTGGATTGACACAAGGCTTGCACATTGGTCTCAGTGACCACACTCTATTTTTCCATTATATGAGAGCTATCTATCTGTGTAATACAGTGGGCATATAATAACACAATTCGGTGTGCTTTCTTTTATGTCCCCAATGAATCTACTATTGAACAGGGATTCTGGTGATTCAAGCAAAGGGTGTAAAGTGGACCAGATGACTTTTATGGTCTCTTCTCACCCTAAGATTCCCCAACTTGCAATTCCAGAGAAGTGCCACCTGCATTTGACTCTTAGTCGAGAGACACTTCTACACAAGAAAATTTGCCCCCAAAACATCATAAAGAAGTCACACCCAAGAGTGCAACCCAAAATTAAAAAAACAAAACAAAACACAATTTATTGGAAAGACATTTTCCACTAATTAAAATGTGAGCATTTACCTGACTGATTCACATTCAACACAGCCCCATGAGCTGGTGGTCATTGTTAGTGAGAAGTAAAATGGGAGAAGTCTCATTGTCTAGGGCAGTGGTTCTCAAGCTTTTAAGCAGAATCATAGATGACTGTGCCCAACCCTCAGGGTTTCTGATTCCCAGTAGGTTTAGGCTGAAGCTCAAGAACTTGCATTTCTAACAAGTGTCCTTGTGATGATGATGCATGCACGTCATGGAACAACACTTGAGAACCACTTGGAATTTTGTAGAGAATAACAGGCCTTCCCAAGGTACCTAATTTGAGTAATGCTTTTCATATGGTTGCCCTAGCTCCTTCTATACTTTCTGGCCTTCTACCAGGGAGAGAACATTGGTAAAAATGCCAGGCTGTACACTTATAGTGGGAATGATAGAGTAGTTGACTTGCCTGGTTTTTAATCTTTAGAGGGAATCCATTTCCCTTTCTCTCTTTGAAGGCAGCCCAGGAAATAAAAGGAAAGTGGTAGAAGAAACAAAAACTAGACAAACGAAACACACAGTTTGAAAAGCTGGACCCAAAAGACTATGATTTTAGCCCCAAACCTCATGAAACCACATGGTGATGAGACAGAGACATAAGTATGAAATCTCTTATGAGTGAGGATAGTCACATACATTCCCTCCAAAAGGCTTCTGTGTTTTCAATCCAGGTTTTGAGAAACTATTTGGAATAAATTTTCAGCCTCCGGTGTGCCCACACAACATGAAAAGAGAACAGTTTTGTAGCGCTATTGCATTTTGATAAGCTCCCTAATGTTCCCTTGGCTTTGAAGAAGGCATCCTATTTTCTTTCCTGCTACATATTCACTTGGAGACAGTTTCTTATTTGATGTGGTCCTTATATTTTGCTTTGGTATTTATTACATTTCTTGCTTAAAAACTTGGTATCATGAGGTGTTTATTTTTATACCAGGCATAGATTCTTTAAGAATGATTAATGTTACAGATACACTGTTAGCTCCTTTCTTTAACTTCCTGAGAAAAGTTTCAGGAGAAACTAAATTGCAATTTGTATTTAAGAGATTAAAATCATCAACATTTGTGCTGTGGGTATGTGGTGGGCAAAAAGTAAATCTGAAATAAGATGATATTCTTATATATTTTTCAGTTATTTTTCCTTGTCTTATAAATATACCGACTATATTGGTTGGTTGTTATGCGGTTGATCTCTACCTATCTCTGTCTCTGTCTCTGTCTTTCTCTCCCTCCCTTCACCGCCACTGGAAGAAAAAACTCATGATGTTACTGTGTGAATCCTTTAGCAACTCAAGGTCAATTTGGATACCCCAATTTGTACAAGTGACACAAGGGAACACCTGAGTACTGATTTTCAGAAAACTTATGTGCTTGCTTCTTGGGGTATTTCATTGTTTTTCTTGGTCTCAAGCACTTCCAAGGCAGTTTTCTTACATGTCAATAGATATAAGAAGGAGAAAAGAAAAAAAAATGTGTCCAAATAAAACAACACCCTTTGAAAACACCTGTCCTGGTGTCAGGTTACAGTTTGGAGGTATTATTAACATTGGTTTAGATTTTCGCAGCATCAAGTTCTGGGAAACTTCATGTTATAGACTTTATGTACCCATTTTTTCCAGTTCTTTATTTACCTTATGACTGAATAAGAGAGAAGAGTGTGTTCATGTATGTATATTTGTAAGTGACTTTGTGATGTATATATTTTTTCATTGACAAATGATCAGAGATGCCAGATTCACTAAAAGAAATCCACCTTACATCCAAGCATGTTTTTCCGATTTAATTTCATGATTTTTTTTTTTTGTTTTCAAATTTATCTGAAAAACACTTGATTATTTAATTACTGAAAACCTTTTCTTTTTTCTTAGAATTCTTTAAAGAACTACTTGAAAATGCAGAGAAATCCTTGAATGACATGTTTGTGAAGACATATGGCCACTTATACATGCAAAATTCTGAACTATTTAAAGATCTCTTCGAAGAGTTGAAGCGCTACTATGTGGTGGGAAATGTGAACCTTGAAGAAATGCTAAATGATTTCTGGTCTCGCCTTCTGGAGCGGATGTTCCGCCTGGTGAACTCCCAGTACCACTTCACAGATGAGTATCTGGAATGTGTGAGCAAGTATACCGAGCAGCTGAAGCCCTTTGGAGATGTTCCTCGGAAATTGAAACTACAGATTACCCGTGCATTTGTGGCAGCCCGTACTTTTGCTCAAGGCTTAGCAGTTGCAAGAGATATAGTAAGCAAAGTCTCTGTGGTAAGTGCTACTTGCATTCTGTGTTTTTGTTTGTTTGTTTCACTTTAAAAGAAAGTTTAGGAGAGGTAGAAAAAGAAATCACTAGAATTCCATTGGCTCAGTAATACACTTCTTTCCATTTCTTTTCTTTTTTTTTTTTTTTGCCTTTTTTCCTACACTTTGTATTTATACATGTGTTTTATGTAGGTATAAACAATACTACGATGGACATCTTCCTATATATATCATTATCATTCTTTTCAGTGAAATGTTTGGTAACTATTAGAAGTAGGATATATTTTCATTTTGGAACTTTAATTTATAAGCATTCTTTTTTTTTTTTATCCTCACCCGAGGACATTTTTCCATTTTTTGTTCAGGTAGAGTGGGAGGGAGAGAGAGGAACAGAGAGAGAGAGAGAAACATCGATGTGAAGGGACACATCGAGTGGCTGCCACCCGCACAACCGACCAGGGCCGGGGACAAACTGCAACCGAGGTACGCGCCCTTAGCGGGAACCGAACCCAGGTCTCTCAGGACCACAGGCCGACGCTCTAACCGCTGAGCCAAACCAGCCAGGGCTGGAACTTTAATTTAAAATGAGTTTAATACCGCCATACTCTTTCAGCTCCTAGTGTACTTCCTCTTCAGAAGGAGAAACATGCACAGACAGGCTCCACCTCAGGTTGTTTTGAGTGACTGTGTTTGAGTCTGCTAGTTACAGACTAGAAAAGCATTCAACATCCATTACTATATGTTTCCTTGTTATAAGATATATCCAAACATATCCAGACTTGTTAAGAAGACAGCTTTTAATAACAATTAATATGGACTACCCACTCTTGACTTATGGCTTTGTTTACAGAATTACCATAGAGAAAAATGAAATTACAGTATATGGGCAAAAGCAGATGAACCACATTTTCCTCATTTGTAAATTAAAGGAACTGGACTAAACCCTTATTTTTCAGACTGTATTCTTTGGAGCCAACTAAGGAGGTACTTCAGGGGCCTCGTTAAGGAGAGAGGCAAGGCAGATGGGTATCTTTTAGTGGGTGGGACTGTGCATCTGGGACCTTACCTGCTGCTTTCACCAGAGAAACTGCCTCTCTCAGTTTTATGCTCTATGGTTTCGAGCAAGATTTGAAGGTGGGAAAGATTTTGTGGATCCTTCACTCCCTCACCACCCCCAAAGATGAAATTTGAAAACTTCTTGAAGGCCTTTCCACTTCTGCCCTTTCATCACTCAATACCAGTGAAGAAATAGAACATACTGGGCCAAAATTATCCTTGTAAGATTTATCTTAATGCTATTACCTTTAGGCCCAAAACAGAAAAGCCATGCCCTGGCTGGTTTGGTTCAGCAGTTAGAGCATCCGCCTATGGACCAGAGAGATCCAGGTTCCGTTCCCGCTAAGGGCATATACCTCGGTTGCAGTTTGTCCCTGGTCCCGGTTGTGGTCGTGTGGGTGGCAACCAGTCGATGTATCTCTCTCACATCGATGTTTCTCTCTCTTTCTTCCTTCCTCCCTCCCTCCCTCCTGCTTTATCTGAAGATAAATGCAAAGGTGTCCTTGGTTGAGGATTAAAAAAAATAAAAGAAAAGCCAAATTTTAGTTCATTTCTAAAAAGTATGGAGGCAAATGAACAGCAGCTTCTACTTAGGTCTTTTGTTTGCTTTGAAGACTGGAGGAGTGGTCAATAAAAACTGGACCAGTACTGGCCAGTTTGGCTTAGTGGTTAGAGTGTTGGCCCATGAACCAAAGAGTCTTGGGTTTGATTCCAGTCAAGGGCACATACCTCAGTTGTGATTTGATCCCCGGACCTGGTTGGGGTCATGTGGGAGGCAACCAGTCAATGTGTCTCTCTCACATCAATGTTTCTCTCTCTCTCCACCCCCACCTTCCTCCCTCCCTCCCACTCTATCTGAAAATCAATGGAAAAATATCCTCGGGTTAGGATTAAAAACAAACAAACAAACAAAAAAAAACTGGACAGCAGTACAAACACTAGAATATCAACCTGATTGCCTATCAGAGAATTCATTTAGAGTTACGGTGATCGTATAATTTATTGCCTAGACTGAGATGCTTATTGTCTAGATCAGGAGGTGTTTATTAACAATCCTATGCAGATAACATTTGCCACTAATTTTTAGTCAGAAACCAGGCCTTTCCTGGACAGACTAGGATGTGTGGTCACCCTAGTTAGAGAGGAAAGTAACATTCACCAAAGTGAAGATAGAGATTCTAGAGAATTGTGAATTATTAAAAAATAGGTGCTTATAGGATATTCCATATTACAATTGGGTGATTAAAAGAATTCATTGATTGTTTCATTCATTGTTATACTTTTATTTGTTATCTCATTTGTGGGCTAGAAGTTGTCAGGAAACAATTCTTTGAAGCATAGGTAGGAGCAAGTAGGGAGATGATGGTTATAATTGAAGGAATAATTTGGTTCTTGAACTTCTGCCAGTTTCAGCAACCATTATTAATCGTGGAGATGCTCACATCAGAGTCCCTCATCAAGGCACAGTTAATCCAGATCAAGGTTATTTACCATGTAGTTCATCTAACACATTTGCCCTCCTTCAACAGTTCCTTGGGGTTCATCCTAAGCTGAATAGGCGGAAAGGTGCTTCTGTGTGGTTTGCATGTCTGTATGTCTGCATGTGTATGCACACAAGTGTCAAGGGTAAAGGCAAGGAGGGGAAAGCCCCTTGCAAGTATTTGATTGTTTGTGGTTTATTTACATTTACCACCCAACTTCCTTTGAATTGATGCTTAGGAAGGACCAGGGAGTTGGCTGAAGCCTGTCTTGTTGCATTGTTGGAACACCTTTAGGGAACTGAGATTCCACAAAACCGAAGTTGGAATACAGGGCAGTTGATGAAACAAGGAAACAGTTTAGATACAACTCAGTGCAGGTTAGACGAATGAGGGGTGAAAGGCTTGCTTGTCTACATCATTCCACCTCCCAAAGGTTAGGGAGAAGTAGATGTGAATCTCTTGCATTGCATTCTTCTTGACATGGTTCTCAAAATTAACTGTGAGAAATCAGTAAGATTGACTTTTGTATTCTAGTTGTAAACCCCCTTATCTTATGCAATAAAGAGTATGTGATTCAAAATGAAATAGTCACAATCAATTTCTGGTGGTCCTTTTGATATGATTGTTTTAAAAGCAGGAAATAAGTTTCCGGTGTAACTTTGTATTATTAAATTGTTTAAGAAAGTCACTTTCTAACAATAATTCTATTTTTTTCAGAATTGGTCTATATTTTTATATTCATTGTATTTGCATAGTTATATGAGAATACAATGACTACACGCTATAGCACTTAATTTACTTTGAATAAACAAGTATTTGCCAATTGTTTAGTTGACAATACTATTTTATGACTACTTGGAAACCTTTAAAAATAATATTTTGCTTCACTAATGAATTTTTTCTACACTTAAGAACTGACTTGAAACCAAATCCTTCAACTAAGTTGGATTAAGGTATCAAAATTATAAAGTAAGAAACTCAGGAATCTCATCAGCTTTTAAAGTTGCTAAAACACAAATTATGTAAAAACCTATCATCTGTGTAATATTTCTATTTAGAAGAAGCATACAAGGAATACTTACACATTTGAGAAATATTTCTTATACTAATGTTTGGAGTATGCCTACCTGTTAAACTGATTTTTAAAAGTTGAATTTATTCGGGTGACATTGGTTAATAAAATTATATAGGTTTCAGGGGTACAGTTCTATAACACATCATCTGTGTATTGTGTGTTCACCACCACAAGTCAAGTCTTCTTCCATCACCATTTATCCCCCCATACCCTCTTCTGTCTCCCCACCCCTCTTTCCCTCTGGTAATCACCATATAGTTGTCTACCAGTTTGTTCTTTTTAAATGTAAGGTACAGTAGTGTGGAGAAGACAGCAAATGATTTGGCTGCCAAAACATATTTCAAATTGAATATGTTGAAAAGTCTATATTTTATTAATAAAATAAGTAAGAAGAATTAACATCATTAAAATTCCCATACTACCCAAAGCAATCTATAGATTCAATGCAATCCTCATTAAAATATCAGTGATATATGTCACAGAAATAGAACAAATACTTCAAAAGTTTATATGGAAACAAAAAAGACCCCTAATAGCCACAGCAATCTTGAAAAAGGAGGACAAAGTAGGTGGGATCACAATACCGGGTATCAGGTTATACTACAAGGCACTGTAATCAAAACACCCTGGTACTGGCACAAGAACAGGCATATAGATCAGTGGAACAGAACAGAGAACCCGGAAATTGACCCAAGACATTATGCTCAACTAATATTTGACAAAGGTGGCAAGAGCATACAGTGAAGTAAAAATAGCCTTTTTAATAAATGGTGTTGGGAAAATTGGACAGCTACCTGCAAAAATATAAAACTAGAGCACTAACTTACACCATACATAAGAATAAACTCAAAATGGATAAAAGACTTAAAGGTGACTCGTGAATCCATACAAATCCTAGAAGAAAATGTAGGCAACATAATTTTAGACATCACGCGCAGCAGAATTTTCACTAAGGCAACAGAAACAAAGGGCAAAAAGCTTCTGCATAGCAAAAGAAACAAGCATCAAAATGGAAAGGGAACCCACTGTATGGGAGAACATAATTGTCAATGATACATCAGATGAGGGGTTAATTTCCAAAATATATAGAGTTCTCATACAACTTAACAAAAGGAAGACAAAGAATCTAATTTAAAAAAATGGACAGAGGACCTAAATAAACACCTCTCCAAAAAGGACATACAGATGGCCAAGAGACATATGAAAAAATGTTCAGTGCCACTAATCATCAGAGATATGCAAATTAAAATGATTGTCAGGTGTCACCTCACACCTGCCAGAATGGCTGCCATCAACAGGTTATCAAACAAGTATTGGTGAGGGTGCGGAGGAAAGGGGACTCTAATACATTATTGGTGGGAATGCAGACTGGTGCAGCCACTATGGAAAACAAT